AGAAAACAAAGATTAAGGTTGTTTTTACCTATATCCAAGGCTTTTCTATGGAACAGTAAAGAGTAGGACTTTGTTTTATTAAGGAGAAGTTTATTCGCCAATAGCCACTGCTGTATAGAATTGATTTCCTGCCGCACTGCTCAGGTGTGTAAAATGGGCACAGGGGTTAGCTCCCCCTGTGCCGTCAAACTTCTGCTACAAATCTAGAAAGAAAGCCTCGAAACAATCGAATTACCCAATGTCGACCACTGCATGGACCACGATTACGAATTAGCGAATCCGATTTGACTATCCTTGAAGTGAACATCAGAGGACTACGGTCCAATATTGGGGATCTTGCCAACTGTTGCTCAGTGAAGAAACCCTCCATAGTCATCACAGTTGAGACCTTTCATGACTCCACCACTCCAGACGGGGCTGAGTCCATCCAGATCCCTGGCTACTCGCTTAACTGTCGCAGAGATCGCACTCGAAAAAACGGTGGTGGTATAGCAGTATACTTTCTAGAGGGAATATCTATCTATCACAATCCAGCTAGAGACCCTGATGACCTTGAGCTTATGTGGTTTACTGTTGCTCTGAAAACCAGGACACTCCTGATAGGTGCTATTTACCGCCCCCCAAGTGCCTCCTGCGATATCATAGACTACCTTGACAAGAACACATTCGCAGTAGGGCTGTGTATCACCAACAATGTCACGATACGATACGCATCACAATACTAAAGCCACGATACGATACGTATCACGATATGGATCAATTTGGAATTTAAATTTCTTTTGAGCAGAGTTTAGTAGCAGTAATATCTTTATTGAATAAACAGTGTTAACAGTTGTGATAATTGAAAAACTATTTAGTTTTTGTCATTAAAAAACATTGAGAGTTCAATTAAATAAGTGTTGGAATGTGCACCAAACAAAGTACATTACGTTGAAATCATTTTAAACAAATAAATGCAATAGAATAAATATAGCCTAATAAAGAGAAAAGTTTTTGAATAGGTCTAGCAGTAGTATTCAGAAATACTACAGACACTTAAAGTAATTAAATGTAAAATAACATTGGGTAGTATTTTAGTCCTGACTAAATTAAATACATTGGCTATAAATCCAGATTCCTTATAATTAAAGCTATCTTTTGTTGTTTTGACGACAATATTAATGACAGACACACATGGCTGCTGTCACTTTAAGAGCTAGTGCATGGATCCTGTGTTCATTATACTGTCACATGCATTAACCGACTGTGTTGGATACTCACCAAGATTGACATTTTTGACATAATTTTGCTTGTCCGTGCTTTAAAATCGCTTGAATGTTTTGCGTGGTAAGACTTCAAAAGACGAGCGAATGGTAAACTTAAGTGACAATGCAATACTCGCCCGAATATGGAAGTGACTATTCCGTCATGTCCCAACTCCCGAAAGCGAGAGTGTATCGCCGCCTTCAGCGCGTTTGACGCTTGCCTTGAGCAACCCATTTTGAGAGACAGAGACAGAAGACGCGGCACAGCTGAACACTCACGCTGTTTGTGAAATTGTGTCTTGCAGAATGTTTTAAAATGACTAATTCGATGTTATAACCTGTATGGATTAATCATTATAAGTGGGAGACCTGCGGGAATGGTTAGAATAATGCGTAATACTTGCAATCCCGCGCTGAAATTCGAGTCCTGAATTGGCTACATTCAAAAGCACGACAGTATCGATACAGCAGTTGCTGTATCGATACGCGCATCGTCAGGAGTTCATGACGATGTATCGTCGTATCGATATTCTGAGCACAGCCCTAATTCGCAGTGATGGACGAATACAGAGCACAGTCTGTAATGCTCATAGGCGACTTCAATGTGCACCACCACGAGTGGCTGGGCAGTAACAAAACTGATACTGCTGGACGGCGACTCTTACAACTCGCCAATTGTCTGGGACTAGACCAGACTGTTATGGAACCAACTAGAGGAGATAATATTCTAGATCTAGTTCTCTCAGACATACCAGCAACTACTACCACCTTAGCACAAATGGGATCCTCTGACCACAATCCTGTTCTAATACAGCTACAAACCCCAGTCTTTAGGGACAAGCCATACAGGAGAACAGTATGGAGATACGATAAGGCCCACTTCTGGGAAATGAAAGGTTACCTCACCAACATCAACTGGCCCTGTATTCTTAAGGATGAAGATCCTGAAATCATCTGCACAAACTTTACCACCATACTGCGAGACGCCATGGCATTATATATTCCCAACAAGACCATCACCAAAAAGCCTGGGGATAAAGCCTGGTTCAACGCAGAATGTAGAAGATTAGCCATGGTAAAAAGAAAGCTTTATTACAACATACGGACCTCTGATGACCCGGCTATGATACAGAAGTTCCTCAAGGCAAGAGCAGCTTTCAATCAAGCTGAAAAGAGGGCAAAAAGGGAGTATTACACCAAATTGAGGAATGAACTTGCAGATAACTCACTAAGCTCAAAAAAATGGTGGGGTATAGTAAATTCACTTTCAGGCAGAAGTGGTTTCACAGACATTGAACACCGGGGCATCACCCACATTAGTGCCAGAGCAAAGGCTAACATTTTCTGTCAAACCTTTGCAGAGAAGTGTACTTTGCCTGATGCATCTGCGCATCCGCTGCCTCGGTGTCAGCAACCAACATCCTCTTTTGCCAATGTGCACTTTAAACCTAAAGACATTAGAAACATTCTTCGTAACCTTGATCCAGCAAAGGCAACGGGACCTGATGAAATACCAACAAAAGTCCTTAGAGAATGTGCAGCGGAATTGGCCAGCCCCCTCAGTCCTCTCTTTCAAATTCTCTTCTCACATGGCGTGTTCCCCAAACAATGGAAAAACGCCAGAGTGATACCAATACATAAAAGAGACTCTAAATCAGATCCAACAAATTATCGTCCCATATCCCTTCTTTCAACCCTAAGCAAAGTGATGGAATCCTCAGTTCATAAACAGCTCCAGGGCTACCTCTTCCGTCAATAATTAATTTCTAATAAACAGTATGAATTTAAACCGAACCACTGCACAGCAGATCTCCTTACAGTATTGTCGCAGACGTGGAACAACATCTTAGACAAAGGAGGTGAGGTGTATATTGTTGCACTAGACATCAAAGGAGCGTTCGACCAGGTTTGGCACAACGGCCTTCTGGATAAGCTTTATGCTAAAGGCATAACAGGGCCATTACATTCTTGGCTACAGAACTACCTGGAAGGAAGGTCCATCCAGGTCGTGCTCTCTGGTCAGTCCTCATCACCTCAACCAATCAATGCCTCGGTGCCCCAGGGATCCATTCTCGGCCCGCTATTATTCTCCATCTTCATTGACGATGTTGTAGAACAGTGCAATAATAGCATTTTTCTATATGCGGATGATTCCACCATTTATGCCCCAGTAACGACACTTAATGGTCCCAATGTGGCAGCATCCCTAAATAAAGACCTGGAGAATATTCGCAGGTGGGCAGATACTTGGAAGGTCACATTCGAGCCCAGCAAATGCAAGGCTATGGTTCTGTCGAGAAAGAGGCCTCCATCCTGCCCGGAACTGTTCTTTGGGGCAATCAGAATTGACCTCTTTGAGCAGTTGAATATTCTGGGACTGTGTATCGATGAGAAGTTGCTATGGACTAATCACCTGTCAAACATCGGCAAGCGTGCTGGACAGTGTCTTGGAGCTCTGCACAGGGTGGCCAACAAGCTTGACGTCAAAGGTAGGGCCAATGTCTATAAAGCATAAGTCAGGAGTACCATGGAGTACTCATGCCTTGCCTGGATGAACGCATCACAGACCACCCTTGGGCAGCTTGACAACATCCAGAAAAAGTCACTGAAAATCATTGGGGAGGATGAGGACACTGCCCTAAGGAAATATGCAATCAGCCAGCTCAGCCATCGTAGAACTGTTGCAGCAACAACTGTGCTTTTTAAAATGCACACTGAAAACTGTCCAGAAGATCTCAAAGCTCTGCTCCCTCCACCTGATCTCTTTTGCCGAACCACTCGAAGAGCACGACCAAGTCACGCCCTAAAACTCCTCAAGTCTAACACCAAATGCTTGGGGAGGAGCTTTCTTCATTCGGCTGTAACAACTTGGAACTGCCTCCCCTGTACTGTAGTAGGTGAAATCACCTCAAAGAATGTTCAGGCCTTCAAGAAGAGACTAAACAAACATCTTCTTAGCAAAAAAATGTCTTGATGCTTAATGTCACTTATCCCATATTCCTAGTTCTGAGTAGCCGCAGATCACGATAGGCTCTCGGGTCAACTGTTAAAGCCTGTATCTGCTAAGCATTAATAAATAAATAAATAAATAAATAAATAAAAAAGTCATGCTGTAAAGCGAGGTTTATCCCGGAGATAGTGGGTTTACTACAGTAAATGACTGTACCATCATTATAAAGATGAATATTACAGTCTGTACAGCATAAGGGCATGTCATTAACAAAAATAGAAAATAATAAAGGTCCCAAAGAAGAACCTTGAGGGATGCCTTTCACTATGCCTGTATAATCTGACTGACAACCCCTGTAATACACACACCCTGACGATGATGATGAAAATAGCAATTAAACCAGAGTAAAGATGATCTCGAGAGACCAATAGCATGCAATTTATCCAATAGAATATAGTGATCAACTAAATCAAAGGCTTTGGAGAGATCTAAGAAAATAGCACCGGTACACAGATTGTCATCAAAACTAGAAAATATATCATTAGAGAGTTTTAAGAGGGCAGTGGTAGTGGAAAAGTGTTTTCTGAAACCTGATTGAGTAAGTAAATTATTATCAGATAAATAACCAGATAATTGATTAAAAATTATTTTCTCAAAAACTTTAACCACACTATTAATTATTGATATTGGCCTATAATTGTTCCGAATTTGTGAGTCTCCACCTTTGTGCAAAGGAATAACTTTAGTACATTTCCAAGCAAAAGGCACTTCGCATGTATCAAATGACATGTTAATAAGCACAGACAATGGTGGTCCTAGTACATGCGAGGCAAGTTGGTGTCACGCATCTGTGGTGTGACGTTGGAGTCACAAGTTGGGGTCACGCATCTGTGGTGCAACGTTGGAGTCACAAGTTGGTGTCACACATCTGTGGTGCGACGTTGGAGTCACAAGTTGGTGTCACACATCTGTGGTGCGACGTTGGAGTCACAAGTTGGTGTCACACATCTGTGGTGCGACGTTGGAGTCACAAGTTGGTGTCACGCATCTGTGGTGCGACGTTGGAGTCACACGTTTGTGTCACGCATCTGTGGTGCGACGTTGGAGTCACAAGTTGGTGTCACGCATCTGTGGTGCGACGTTGGAGTCACAAGTTGGTGTCACACATCTGTGGTGCAACGTTGGAGTCACAAGTTGGTGTCACACATCTGTGGTGCGACGTTGGAGTCACAAGTTGGTGTCACACATCTGTGGTGCGACGTTGGAGTCACAAGTTGGTGTCACGCATCTGTGGTGCGACGTTGGAGTCACACGTTTGTGTCACGCATCTGTGGTGCGACGTTGGAGTCACAAGTTGGTGTCACGCATCTGTGGTGCGACGTTGGAGTCACAAGTTGGTGTCACGCATCTGTGGTGCGACGTTGGAGTCACAAGTTGGTGTCACACATCTGTGGTGTGACGTTGGAGTCACAAGTTGGTGTCACACATCTGTGCTGCGACGTTGGAGTCACAAGTTGGTGTCACGCATCTGTGGTGCGACGTTGGAGTCACAAGTTGGTGTCACAAATCTGTGGTGCGACGTTGGAGTCACAAGTTGGTGTCACGCATCTGTGGTGCGACGTTGGAGTCACAAGTTGGTGTCACACATCTGTGGTGTGACGTTGGAGTCACAAGTTGGTGTCACGCATCTGTGGTGCAACGTTGGAGTCACACCTTTGTGTCACGCATCTGTGGTGCGACGTTGGAGTCACAAGTTGGTGTCACGCATCTGTGGTGCGACGTTGGAGTCACAAGTTGGTGTCACGCATCTGTGGTGCGACGTTGGAGTCACAAGTTGGTGTCACACATCTGTGGTGCGACGTTGGAGTCACAAGTTGGTGTCGAGCATTTTTGGTGCGACGTTGGAGTCACACGTTTGTGTCACGCATCTGTGGTGCGACGTTGGAGTTACAAGTTGGTGTCACGCATCTGTGGTGCGACGTTGCAGTCACAAGTTGGTGTCGAGCATTTGTGGTGCGACGTTGGAGTCACACGTTTGTGTCACGCATCTGTGGTGCGACGTTGGAGTCACAAGTTGGTGTCACGCATCTGTGGTGCGACGTTGGAGTCACAAGTTGGTGTCACGCATCTGTGGTGCGACGTTGGAGTCACAAGTTGGTGTCACGCATCTGTGGTGCGACGTTGGAGTCACAAGTTGGTGTCACGCGTCTGTGGTACGACGTTGGAGTCACAAGTTGGTGTCACGCATATGTGGTGCGACGTTGGAGTCACAAGTTGGTGTCACGCATCTGTGGTGCGACGTTGGAGTCACAAGTTGGTGTCACACATCTGTGGTGCGACGTTGTAGTCACACGTTGGTGTCACATGTTTTGTCCCGCGTCTGTGGTGCGACGTTGGAGTCACACGTTTGTGTCACACATCTGTGGTGCGACGTTGAAGTCGCATATTTGTGTTACGCGACTGTGGTGCGACGTTGGAGTCACACGTTTGTGTCACATGTTTGCACCTTGAAAACAAAAAAGGGGAAACAAAACCATACACATTTTCACAACAATAACAACACAAATCCTGGAATGAACACAGTACATTTAACTGAATTTAGAGCCATGGATCAATTTTAGTTCATGCAAAAGAATTCTATTAAACAAAAATCATATTGATCAAGACATCACATTTCCCTATGTGTACTCTAATACATCAAAGTTGGTACAGTCTCATTTCCTTTAGAATTCCCATAAAACAGAACAACTGCCTGATTGAATCTCTTTGCCACTAGGATGGTCCATTCCCACAACACACCAGGTACTAAACACGTCAAGTCATCTTAATTACAAAATGAACATTAACAATTTGAGCTATGTTTTTATAAATCACATTTAGCCAAAGAGGAATTTTAACTGGTTTTAATGTTTTAACCTTAAGCCAAATAACTAAGCCCGTGCACTGACTCAGTACAATGACAAACAAAGATCTTAAACCAAACCAATATGAGCCATTCCACAGAAAGGGTGATATTTCTGTCCCCAGGACATTATATGTATAAAATTGCATGAAAATGAACTCTAAAATAAATTTTATTAAAGCAAAATGTCCTGCACACATAAAGCTAACTACACATTTAAAATGTATAATTAAAAACGTTAATAAAAACTACATAGAACACAAAATAATAGCATTTTCTGCATGTCCCCACTCTCTCTCTAAACTTTACCATGAAATATAATGACTAAAATCCTTCAGAAATCTTAATTGTTTTGCATAGTTGTGTGACTTTATATCGAATCTGCTTTAAAATGAAAAACATATTTTATCCAATATTTTAGATAAAATACACATTTTAGTCATGTTCCCAGGTTTTCACTCAGTCCTTTTACCCTATTACACCCCCCCCCCCCCCCCCCCTCCTCTGAAAAACTTTTTTAACATCCTGTTAAACATCCTGTTAAAAATGTGTCTTGAGGAATATTCCACAAGACACATTTTTAACATGAAGTTGCACAATCTGAATCTTCTGAAGGCAATGGGAAGACCATAAGTAAGTCCTCTCATTTTAATTTCTGTATATTTGATGAAATTGTAACTTTGACTGAGAAGGTCAATCTCAACATACTCTCCTGTTACCTAAATTGTTTATTAGATTTTATTTGTTTATTTAAAAAATATTAACTTTTGGTAAGTCAAAAGAATTTGCTCAGTGTCCTCATGCTATAAGCATGTCTGCTGTGTGGCCATATGCCACGTATTTGATAACTTTTTGCTTAAAAACTCAATCCTGTTACAATTTTTTTCTTTTTAAAAACAATTTAATTAAACCACTGTTTTTATCAGTTTTGATTTTTTTTTTTTAAATTTTAATTAAATTTAGTTAAAACAAATTTTTTATAAAAAATGTTTTTTTTTTTTTATATAATTTATATAATTAAATTTAGTAATTTTTTTTATATATAATTTAATTAATTGAATTATAGAAGAAAAAAAAAACTTGAGGCTTCGGTCTTCTTTAAAATGAAAAAAAAAAATGGCTTTGTGTTTTTTTTTTATTAAAATACACCCTACCTTAACATATAGTTTTTTTTTTTTTTTGTCACAAATGTAAATTATTTGAACATATAACCAACAATTTCTTTAAAATAAACACTTTCTTGTGGTGAAAACAAAAGAATTAATTGACATGCTTTTAAACTTGCTTTTTAAATGGCACATGATTTTCGGTAACAGGACTGAGAAAACATGCGTCCATTTTCTGCTTAAACCTTGTAAAAAAATAACAAAAGTTGCCTGAGATTGACCAATACACATTTTGAATAGTTAAATGTGTAGTATTAGATTCAGTGTTGAATAAAGATAACAAATAAAGTTTAATTTTGAAGAGTTGCAACAACGGTGGAATGGCCCATATAGTAATGTCCTTTTATTTATTGATCAAATGCAAAGATGCATAATATAAGAATTGTGTGGCTTAAATCCTGGCCATCACACTGTCACACCATTTGTCACAACTCATTTTCTATTGTTGCACCGTTCCTTTTACTTTATGATATGTATCTTTGTTTTTCCATATATATCTTATTGTGCAGAAACAAAGAGACAGAGCTATGAGGACACCGGCATCGTCTTCAGTCATGAAAGCCTTTCCTGAAGATCCTCCAGGTCTAGATTACAGGTAACCAGATCCTCCTCAGAAGCACAAGCACCAGCAAAGCTTGAAAACCCTCATTCCGTTCCGTTTTGGCTCATAGTGAAACAGATTTCTCAACGTATTAGAAGCATATATTTTTGTTTCCGTAATGAAAATGATCTGTCCATTTCATCAAGAGATCTGAGATAAACCAAAAGTACCTTTGTTCCTTTTCGTTGTCACTCCGAATGAGGAGACGAATGGGGGTTTCGCTTAGAAAGCCTATCGACTTCGAGTATACAAAACAAGCCAATGGCAAAGGAATGCCATGTCAGAGCAGAGCCTGGCCCCCGCGGAACGCTGGTCCTTCCCTGGCCTCCTCTGTCAGGGTGCGGTTATGACCGTGCCCCCACACGGGCCGCTATGCTGTCCACGTCCGGGCCGGTCATTCCGCTTCGCTGCACCACAAAGGGGACGTCTGTGGTTCGCGTGACGCCGCTGGCACAGTCCTTGGGAGCCTGGCTTGAGCTTCCCAACCTATCCCGCTGCGTCGCACGAACCATCAGGCTCGGCTATGCGAATCAGTTCGCACGGTCTCCTTCCCGCTTCAGGGGAGTCCGCTCTACTATGGTCAGTGGCAATACCCCTATCATGAGAGTAGAGGTTGCTACCCTACTGGCGAAGGGTGCGATCGAGACTGTCCCTCCAGCCGAAATGAGGTCCGGGTTCTAAAGCCCCTACTTCATTGTCCCGAAGAATCCGGTGGGTTACGGCCAATCCTGGACCTGCGCATCCTGAGACGCTCCCTTCACAGGCTGCTGTTCTGAATTCTCACAGCCAAACGCATCCTGCGTGTGTGCAGCCCCAGGATTGGTCTGCAGCGATCGACCTGAAGGACGTATTCATGTCTCCATTCTTTCTCAAAACAGACCGTTCCTACGGTTTGCTTCGAGGGGCAGGCATACCAGTACGCAGTTCTCCCTTTCGGGCTAGCCCTGTCTCCTCGCATCTTTACGAAGGTCGTCAAGGCAGCCCTTGTTCCCCTCCGGGAACATGGGGTTCGTGTCCTGAACTATCTCGACGACTGGCTGATACTAGCTCACTCTCGAGACTGGGTTTGCGAACACAGGGTCCTAGTGCTCCGGCACCTAGCTCGTCTGGGCCTTCGGGTCAACTGGGAGAAGAGCTAACTTTGCCCCGTGCAGAGGATCTCTTTTCTCGGTATGGACTCGGTCGCCATGTCTGCGCAGCTTCGAGGAGCGCGCGCAGTCACTGCTGACTTGCCTAAGACAATTCGAGGGCAAGAGTGCGGTTCCACTGAATCTCTTTCAGAGGCTCCTGGGGCATATGGCATTTGCAGCCACGACAACGCCGCTCGGATTGCTCATATGAGACCGCTTCAGCTCTGGCTTCGCGATCGAGTCCTGAGGTGGGCATGGCAACACGGCACTCTCCGAGTACCAGTTACTCCGACCTGCCATCAGACCTTCACCCCGTGGTCGAACCTCAGTTTTCTACGGGCCGGAGTGCCCCTGGAACGAGCTTCCCCGGCATGTTGTTGTCTCAACAGATGCCTCTACCACTGGCTGGGGCGCCATGTGCAATGCACGTGCTGCCGCGGGCTCCTGGACAGGACCCCACCGCCTAAGGCACGTCAATTGCCTCGAGTTGCTGGCTGTACGTCTTTCTTGCTCCGCTTCCGGGCCGTGCTCAAGAATCAACACGTACTAGTCCGACCAGACAATACCGCCACTGCAGCGTACATCAACCGTCAAGGTGGTCTACGCTCCCGCCGTATGTCGCAACTCGCCCGCCACCTCCTCATATGGAGTCAGAATGAGGAGATGTTCGATCAGTGTCGTGCTTTCCTTCCTTCAAGATGGGTTGGAGCGAAGGCTGTCTCCCTCCACCCTCAAAGTCTATGTTGCCGCTATTGCTGAACACCATGACCCAGTCAAAGGTAAGTCTGTGGGGAAGCACGACCTGATCGTCAGGTTCCTGAGAGGAGCGAGAAGACTGAATCCTCCTCTCGTTCCCTCTTGGGACCTCGCAGTGGTGCTAACTGCCCTGCAGAGTGCTCCCTTTGAGCCTTTGCAATCAGTGGAGCTTAAGTTCCTGTCTATGAAGACAGTGCTCCTGGTTGCATTGGCCTCCATCAAGAGGGTAGGGGACCTGCACGCATTCTCCGTTGACGAAGCGTGCCTGGAATTCGGGCCGGCCTACTCTCACGTGATCCTGAGACCCCGGCTTGGATATGTGCCCAAGGTTCCTACCACTCCCTTCCGGGACCAGGTGGTGAACCTGCAAGCGCTGCCCCTGGAGGAGGCAGACCCAGCCTTGGCACTGCTCTGTCCAGTACGTGCTCTCCGCATCTATGTAGACAGGACGCAGTGTTTCAGGACCTCAGACCAGCTCTTTGTCTGTTATGGTGGGAAGCTGAAGGGAAAGGCTCTCTCCAAGAAACGGCTGTCTCACTGGATAGTGGACGCCATTGCTTTGGCATACCAGCAGCAAGGTCGACCGTGCCCCCTTGGTGTGACTGCCCACTCCACCCGGAGTGTGGCCTCATCTTGGGCTCTAGCGCATGGCGCCACGCTAACAGACATCTGCAGAGCTGCAGGCTGGGCGACACCCAACACATTCACCAGATTCTACAATCTCCGAGTGGAGCCAGTGTCCTCTCATGTACTCGCTTCAACCAGCTAGTACCGGACCCGCTCAGTTGTCTTTGCTTGCTCGCCATTCCACTCTACGGACTGGATACGTGCGATATTCTTCTCAGGTGATCTTCCCCGAAAGCCCTGAGTTCCTCCATCACTCCTGACATCGGCGCCAGTGTCTATTGCCTGCGCGTCGGCTAGATTCCTCCCGTGTGCATGGTCCCTTCTCTGAGCGACCCCCACATGTGTATTTCCACTGTAAGCCTCTCTGAGCATGTGTCTTTCCCTTGGCAAGCCACCTTGCCACCCCTGGGGTTGAAATATTCCACCTGCGGCTGGACACCCCAGTGATTCCCCATATGCATCCCTCCGGGTCATATGTGTATTTTTTATATATGCAAATTCCATGCAAATTCCGCAGACCCATGGCATTCCTTTGCCATTGGCTCGTTTTGTATACTCGAAGTCAATAGGCTTTCTAAGCGAAACCCCCATTCGTCGTCATCCGACAGAACGTCTCCGTTCCCTACTCAGGGAACGAGGGTTACATTCGTAAGCGAGATTTTTCATGATTGCTAATGCTCTGTTTTTTTCAACAAGTCTTTCATTCACGTGACATTTCTGAATCTCCAAATGTCTGATACATTCATAATGTAATGTCAAATGTACATTTTCTAACTTGGCACAGCTCGCACCCAGTTGATGATGCTGGTTTCTTCTCCTTCGCAACATTTGCATGGATGACACCCATGATGTGGAGGCTCTTTAGGAATCGATTAAATGAGGACTTTTCCTCTCTCTCACCTCATGATGGAGCCCACATCAATGAAGAGAGGTATTCTTCATAATCTTTTCATTTAACCCTCTGGGCTTCTTCGGACAAAAATGACTGAAACCGTTTATGTTTTGAAATGTTTAATTTTTTTGCTTCATCGGATGGGGTTGAAACTTGGTGACTTTTGTTGTATTACCTATGTGAACACACAAAAAAAAAATCAAGGAGATGATTCGGATATGTTAAAGGGTCGTAAAAAAAATAGTCACACTTAGCTTCCTTCCGGTCAAAAATGACCGACAAATGAATGGGAAATACGAAAAAATAGGAAAACTCAGAAACTTTTGGTGGTACAAACTACAGATCAGCCACTGTGCAGAAAAAAAGTGTACAGCAATGAAGGAGTGACACTCTAAAACATCAAGAGTGCAAATAAGACAACCACCCCCCACGCACACAAACACAGTGATAAACTGGCAAGACTGCAACATCAAAAAAAAAAAATAACTAGTCTTTTAGAATATCTAAATATATATCTAAATAAAAAAAATGAATAAGATAGAGAAATCATGTCTAAAACAACAATAGGAATCAAAAAGCCTTTCTATGTATTTATATAGGAAGCTATATGCAGCCTACAGGCGGTTAAGGACATTACACACATTTATATATTTTTAAAGCCACTGGATGGCAGGCTTCTCACTTGAATTTTTTTTTCCTGCAGCCTGCACTCTATTTTGATGTGAAATGTTGCATTTATTGAAAAAAAATTGTATAATGAAAAATTAATTCTAATGGAAAAAATACCTCATAAAAAGTATATAATTAATGCAAAGTATCATAAAAATCTTTAAAAATTCTAAATAATAATAAGAAAATATTATTGAACAAAAATATATTTCATTGGTTTTCCTGGAAAAAAAAAAGTTACATTTTAAGGCGTCTGTCTTTTTTGACCGGGAGGAAGCTAAGTGTAACCCCCAAACGAAGAAGCCCAGAGGGTTTCTAAGCTTGGTTAAGAAGTCTCGACAGAATGATTTGCTGCAGGACGAGCAAAAAAACAGTGGTCACAAGGTCTAAGAATGTTTTCCTGAATCCTGGGTGAGTCTTGGAGAATGTGCAGTATTTGCGGGCAAACCAACTATCTTCAAAAAATGAAAAGCGGTTGTGATTTCTGTTCAGGTTCCAGAGACTGTGGGCCGATGAAGTTGCCCGTGTGGGCCTAGAGAAGGCTTCTCTTCCTGCTGTGGTCTTTCGTTTTCAGAAGACAAGATTAATGGTGTCATTCTTGGCTTCAATCCTATTTACTTTTGCTGTATTTATTGGGCCGGTATGTAAAATAACTTGGCAGTACAAAGTATCATTCAGTTGAATAAACAATAAAACATATTGTTTTATGTTCCTTAAAGGGTCAGTTCACCCAGAAATGAAAATTATCCCATAATTTACTCACCCTCAAGCCATCCTGGGTGTATATGTCTGTGTTCTTTCAGCCAAACACAGTTATATTAAAGAAAATATCCCGTCTCTTCCAAGCTTTATAAAAGGAGTGAATAGTAACTGAGATTTTAAAGCCCCAAAAAGCTTATCCAAGGTTCATAATTGATGAATCGAACATTTGGGTGAACTGATGCTTTACATTAGTAGCTTAGTTTATAAAGTCAATCCCCTTTTGAGGGACCCACTTGCAAAAATATAGTAGCATCTGTATATGTTCATGTATTAATAACCATTTATGTATGAGAAAAATATTAAGCATTATATTACAAAGGCATGTTATTTCCTTGATTAAAACATTTATATTGCCAATGTAGTAGAATAAAATAGTTCGAATTAAATTTGAAATTGGATTCTAACTAAGCATTCAGTGCTATTTTTTCATGGATTTTTTTATTTTCATTTGGTCTGTCTTCTAGTCAATTCTAGTGTATGAAATCCTGAACTACGTCGAACACCCCGAGACATCCACGGTGTTCTACGGCGTCGGTGTGTGTGTGGCTCTGTTCACATCTGAGTTCAGCAAGGCATTTTTTGCATCACTCATGTGGGCTGTGAATTTGCGAACCGCTGTGAGAATGAAGGGAGCGTTCAACATGCTTGCTTTCAGGAAAATCCTCTCTCTCAGGAATCTCACCAGCATCAGTGTAGGAGAGGTAAACCATTGATTGTCGATTCGACAGTGAGTACTGCCACTTTACTGTCTGTAGAATCTAGTTATTGGTACTTGATAAGGAATTTGTATTTATTTACTAGTACTTCAACCACTTTTGAATTACTTAAATGATATATAATACAAGTAGTGTTTGTCATAAACTGTTGTGTGCATCATTTCTCTGTTTTGTAGACTATAAACGTGTTGACGAGTGATGGTTATCGGGTGTTTGACGCGGTCCTGTTTGGAACCTGTCTGCTGTTTGTTCCTTTTCTGCTGATCATATGTATCATATATGCCTGCTTTATTCTGGGATACACGGCACTAATGGGAATTTTGGTGTACCTGGTGTTCCTACCAATACAGGTGTGGTGGTCTTTTCTGTTTCGTGTAACACTTTTTCCGAGGCCTGTCTCAGTTACATTTAGTATTTTCCCTGACCGCTATAGATATCAGTTGCCAGGCTGATTGGTGTGTTGAGAAGGGAGGCTGTGTCTGTGACGGACAGCCGTGTTCGCACCATGAATGAGGTTCTGACCTGCATCAAACTCATTAAGATGTATGCGTGGGAGGAGTCTTTCGAGAAAACAATCACAGGTTGCCTATCCATCCATCCTATTGTATTTTACTCATGACTCTGTGAAATGCTGTGTTTTCTCTCACCCATTCTTTCCTTATTTATTTCGGATATAGATATTAGGAAAAATGAGAAGTTGCTCTTACAAAAGGCTGGTTATGTTCAGAGTTTAAACCGAGTATTAACAATGATAGCCCCCACACTGGCAACCGTCCTCGCCTTCATTGTCCACATTGCACTGAAACTGCCTCTTCAACCTTCCACTGTGAGTGCAACAAAAGGCTTGTCATTTGCTAAATGCATAAGTTTACACTACCTTTCAAAAGTTAGGGATCAAAAAGACATTCATATTTTTTCTTTTTCAAATAAATGCTCTTCTTTGGAACTTTCTATTCATCAATGATGAATAGAAAAAGTTTCATCAAAATCGTGTTTTTGTAAAAACTTAATACAAAAATATTAAGCAGTATTTTCAACACTGGTGATAATAAAAAAAAAAGTTTCTTGAGCACCAAATCAGCACATTAGAATGATTTCTGAAACTGCTGTTCCATCACAGCAACAAATTACATTTTAAAATGTATTAAAATAAAAAACAGCTATTTTGTAAATTGTAATATTTCACAATATAATTGTTTTACTGTTTTTTTTTTTTTTTTATCAAATGCAACCCTTGTTAATTTAAGTGATTTCTTTCAAAACCATTAAAAATCTTACTAGCCCAAAACATTTGAATGGTAGTGTAAATGTGTAAAACTTCATTACTTATACATTGATTGATCAATTTATTGTTTCCATTTTGTATTTGGATAATTCTGTCCTAACTCGCTTTACTTGTTGTAATTTCCTACATCACGTAAACTGGCAAATGACTCTGATGTGCTTGAAACTTTGATAAAAGCGATGAGTTTTCTCTAACCATTGCCCACAGGCGTACACTGTCATCGCTGTATTTAACTGCTTGAAGATGTCTATGGGCTTGTTGCCATTCTCTGTTAAAGCTGTTGCTGAGGCTAAAGTGGCTCTTGCGAGACTCAAGGTTGGACTCTCAATCAAAATCAAAGTTATTTTTCTCTCATTTTTACCTCATTGTCAAAAAGAGTTCCTCCTTTTCCCTACGGATTTGTACCTTTGGCCCCGTTATCCAGCCCGTTCTCATCCCAAAGCGTCTATATCCAACACACATGGCACCCTTTAGCGTCAATATGAGACGCAGATATATGGCGCCTCCTAGTGGTCTAACCCTAACACTACCCCAGACCTAAACCTACCCATAACCGAAGCGTGTTATATTGACGCTAAAGGGTGCCATGTGCGGCGGATGTAGACGCTTTGGCAAAAGCGTCAGTATATGACGCCTTGGGATGAGAATGTGTTGCATTATCTGCTGTAATTGCATTGGTTTAGGACATATTGAGATTGATGTAAATATTGTTAACATGTGTATCTTATAAAGATAAGTGTGTGGAAAATATATTTTCACGTGCTGTAACTTGATATTCTAAAATGCGTCTTTTACATTGAATTCCTGATTTTCCTCTGCAGCACAATGCAAATAACAGAATATTGAATGATTGCATCTCTACAGAAACTCTTGTTGGTACAGAACCCCAAAGGTTATCTTACGCAGAATAAAAATATGGATGTGGCGCTGGTCATGGAAAATGCCTCATTCTCTTGGAGCCGGCCAGATGACATGAACGGCACTGAAAGACCACAAGATCCCTCTCAAAGCGCCACACACCAGTCAGACTCCAAACCTTCAATCAGAAGCATCAGCTTCACTCTTTCAAAGGTGTGATATGAATATATTATAATGTGAGGCACTGTAACATGCCAGTAGTCGATATAGACAGTGTAGGAAACTTAGAAGCGAAGACCAGGAGACTTGGTTGTATCTTCACCAGGATTTTTTGAGAACACGGTATAGCTGCAGTCATCATGTCTAAATCAATAGCTCAGCACAGTTGAGGAGGGATTTATATAGAGGTGGAGACACTCTGAACAAAGCATGCAAATGAAGTACAGGAGTCAGTCCTGATATCATCAGCATAGCAGTGTCATTCAAATGCATAGATGCTAATCCAATCAGCCTGATCCCCATACACATTTGCATTGTTGTTCACTTATATTTATCATTTTGAAATATATTCTAAAGTATAACAAATATATGTAAAATATATGACAAAATATATGGTCAAAAAATGTTTAGCTTGCAAAAGAAAATGTATTTTGATCATAGTAATTCCTCTACCTTTTCCCCTACACACAACAGTAGGCTACCATATTTCACTACTGTATTATGACACACAGCTATAATAAATACTGTACTTACATTTAAATGACTGCAATGTAAAATGACAGATAGTTGCTTTCCTAGGACTATTAGGTGGCACGTGCCTAACACTACTTGCAATTATTAGATTTATTGTTGTTTTATTGACATCTTTCCTGAAGTCATTTAAACATTGAAAACATGCACAATATTTATGATGCAAGTATAACAGTGACACTCCAACAGTGAAGTACGCTTCAATAATAGATAGAACTCACTTTTACACACACTATTAAATAACTTCAATTCTGAAAATATATTTCAAATGAAACCATTTGCAAAAGTTAAAACATATGAACATGTTGTTAGTAAATATATTGACATACAAATATATTCACATATTTAACTAAAATATATTTTAATATATATATATATACACTCACCTAAAGGATTATTAGGAACACCTGTTCAATTTCTCATTAATGCAATTATCTAATCAACCAATCACATGGCAGTTGCTTCAATGCATTTAGGGGTTTGGTCCTGTCAAGACAATCTCCTGAACTCCAAACTGAATGTCAGAATGGGAAAGAAAGGTGATTTAAGCAATTTTGAGCGTGGCATGGTTGTTGGTGCCAGACGGGCCGGTCTGAGTATTTCACAATCTGCTCAGTTACTGGGATTTTCACGCACAACCATTTCTAGGGTTTACAAAGAATGGTGTGAAAAGGGAAAAACATCCAGTATGCTGCAGTCCTGTGGGCGAAAATGCCTTGTTGATGCTAGAGGTCAGAGGAGAATGGGCCGACTGATTCAAGCTGATAGAAGAGCAACTTTGACTGAAATAACCACACGTTACAACCGAGGTATGCAGCAAAGCATTTGTGAAGCCACAACACGCACAACCTTGAGGCGGGTGGGCTACAACAGCAGAAGACCCCACCGGGCACCACTCATCTCCACTACAAATAGGAAAAAGAGGCTACAATTTGCAAGAGTTCACCAAAATTGGACAGTTGAAGACTGGAAAAATGTTGCCTGGTCTGATGAGTCTCAATTTCTGTTGAGACATTCAGATGGTAGAGTCAGAATTTGGCGTAAACAGAATGAGAACATGGATCCATCATGCCTTGTTACCACTGTGCAGGCTGGTGGTGGTGGTGTAATGGTGTGGGGGATGTTTTCTTGGCACACTTTAAGCCCCTTAGTGCCAATTGGGCATCGTTTAAATGCCACGGCCGACCTGAGCATTGTTTCTGACCATGTCCATCCCTTTATGGCCACCATGTACCCATCCTCTGATGGCTACTTCCAGCAGGATAATGCACCATATCACAAAGCTCGAATCATTTCAAATTGGTTTCTTGAACATGACAATGAGTTCACTGTACTAAAATGGCCCCCACAGTCACCAGATCTCAACCCAATAGAGCATCTTTGGGATGTGGTGGAACGGGAGCTTCGTGCACTGGATGTGCATCCCACAAATCTCCATCAACTGCAAGATGCTATCCTATCAATATGGGCCAACATTTCTAAAGAATGCTTTCAGCACCTTGTTGAATCAATGCCATAGAATTAAGGCAGTTCTGAAGGCGAAAGGGGGTCAAACACAGTATTAGTATGGTGTTCCTAATAATCCTTTAGGTGAGTGTATATATATATATACATATATATATATATATATATATACATAAATTTAACTAAAATATATTTATTGGGCCAATTTCAAATATTTGCATATATACCAAAAATATATTCTGAAAATATATTTCAAATACATGTATTTTAAAATACACAAGGTTAATGTCAGACACCTGCAATGTACTTTCTCAGTTTATAAACTATTGTATTGGAACCTAGATTTAACATTTAATACATTTGCAGTCCAACAACAGGACGTGTTCTGACACTAAAAGAGACCAATGAATTTCTCTCTTCAACTATAGGGAAGTCTGCTTGGGGTGTGTGGCAATGTTGGAAGTGGAAAAACCTCTTTGATATCAAGTATTCTTGAGCAGGTGTGGCACCGCCGGTCTTTTCTACGTCCAAGACACATGATGTGATGAGGTGTGACTGACAGTATAATCATTTATTCCTGCAGATGCATCTTGTGAGTGGGTCTGTATCAGCTAATGGAACATTTGCATATGTTTCCCAGCAAGCCTGGATATTCCACGGGACTGTAAGGGACAATATCCTCATGGGAGAACCATTTGACCAAACCAGGTAAAACTAGAGAACGCAAAAAACACAACTGGTCAAAGAATGTGTGTCAACAGTTACATATTTGTCTTTTGAAAAGTGTCAGGAGAGTTCACTTCTGCACAGTCAAATGATGCCCATAATGTACAATTTGTGCAGTTGCAGGAGTTTTACTTATAAACCCACATTTACAGTATCACAGTATTTTGAAGTATCACATTTTACTGGAGGCCAAATGCCAACACAAAGTCTATCATATCTGTATTGGCCAAAAGAGGAGAGCTTAATGGAGAACAGTGGATGATTTAGAGTGATAAACAGCACTAAACTGAACGAAGAAGAAAACGTACAGTCATGTCCCTAAAGCAATAAAATTACACGTGACGTTTTTTCTTTTATCTACAATAGATCTTGATAAATCTTCCACATACAAAGGTAAAAGGAAAACTTTCATGAAGATATAGTGATGAATAAACGTATCTCACAGTTAATGTGGTCGCAATGTGTGAGCTGTGCTTCATACAGAAGTCAAGCTTTTTGTTGGTCAACGTGGCGAGATCTAACAACTGTATGTGACCGCTCCTTTAGCCTCTCTGATAGATGTAAATATTCATCTAAATATGAAGCAGATCAATATCATTAGAATGTAAAAGAGTAGTTTTGTATGAAACTTGACATTATTTCCCCATAGTAAGTGTGAATTTAGTGAGCAAGGACTCAGAATAAAACAGTTTAGACACCACTAACCCATTCGTCTTGAAATAGCCAGTTTTAATTGACCTCAGTGTCCTAGGAAGCTAATAGATCTTGTTTTATAGCCAGACCGTGAACCGCTTTATGGTGTTTTGATTGATTAATTGATTGATTGATTGATTTGATTTAATTGAATGACCACACAGCCAGGCTGGTGGAATTTGTTTTCAGTACAGCTCTTTGGTACAGGTTCCAGCATTACATTTAAACAGTAAAAATTGAACATATAAAGTAACATGTATATATACATACAGACAAACACATTAATACATAATACATAAAGGCGGGCGTACACGGTGCGATTTTTTGCTGTTTTACGAGCTCGCAGATGATTTTTTTCACTCGAGAGAAATCGTGTGTAAATCGGTTATGCTCGCATGTCGCGGCTCGTATCGTGTGCGAGGAAGATACTGTCACAGTCCTCGTCTGCACCTGTCTGTCCCTGTCTGCACTACACTTCCCAGAATCCTCCTTGTCTCCACACCTGAACTCACTCCCTCACTTACCAGCCTGTTCATCGTTATCATCATCTGTGTCACCTGTCTTCACCTTGTTATGTTTGATTTGTACTTGTATTTAGTTCCTTCAGTTTAGTCATTCTTTGTCAGTAGTTAGTCTTACTTATTATGTTGTGAGTTGTTCTGCCTGTTTGCCTTCTTGTACCTGTTTTTGAGTTTACACTTAGTAAATGTTTGCATTGGAGCTTTTGCCTCAGCCTCCTTCTTCAACCCGCACCACAACCGTGATAGATACGAGCCGAGCCGAGCACCTCTCGACCTCCCGATCATTTTTCAGCATGTCGAAAAAGTTCGGGAGCTGTCGGCTTGCATTCGTGAGGTGTGTGAGGTTGAATGAGCCGATTTGTCGATCTATCTGAATTTGACCAATCAGGAGCTGAGAAAATCCACAGAAGAAAGACGAAAATGGTGTGGACTAGGCTACTAGAAACACTGCTTCAATTAATGTTTTTATGATGACTTTGTGAAAGGTTAACTAAACAGCATCTGCCGTGTTCCTGCTGGCCAGTATTTGGCATATTTCATTCTGTAACATACAGATCTGTATTATGCTATTGTTTTTGATAGTGTTATAGCCTACATTTCTTACAGATTCTTACACGTCACGATGATCATTGCGTTTGTATCTTCCTAACAGCAATTACAGTTTGTCTACAGCCTACTCTTTTTTTATTTATTAATGCCGACAGAACAATGTTGCCAGATATTGCTACGAAAAACAAGCAAAAACAAAGAAATTATAAAAATCCGAAATAAGTTCAAAGCTTGTTTTTTGGAAATAAGATTAATATATCACGAACCACTTTAATAACTTCCTAAGCTGTGACATTAATCCAAAAAACAAGTCCAGAATACTACTGTCACCTTTCCATTATGTGGATCTGGCAACACGGGATCTGGCACCCGCGATCTCACTCACAACGCGCTCAAGCTCACTCAAGCCCCGTTCACTGCGCTAGCTTCTCGCAGCAAAATGAATTGCAAACACTCACATGATGAGGTGGTTTAAACAGCTAATTAATCATTCAGAGAGCTTGAAATTTTATTTTTGAATGTGTAGCCTACCGTAACTAAGTTTTTTTTTACTCATTCACACACACACACAAGGGTGACCGGACGTCCGTTTTCCGATGCTGAAAACGAGCCCATATATGTAGCAAAATAATCACGGCTTGTATCAATATTTTATATGCAGTTATGATAGAGTTTTTGGCGCGGAACTTCGTGCGATTTCTTCGGAATTCAGCAGGGCGTAAAATGGTGTTGTATATCACTGTCTGCCTCCGTACGATTTTCGGATAAACTCACTCGTAAAGTGTGCGTGGACATACGATCTTCCGACCGTCAGAATTCGCACCGTGTACGCCCGCCTTAAGGGGTCATGCTTAATCCACAGTCCTCAGCGTTCAGAGTTCAGAATGTTTATTGCTTTTGGAATGAAACTGTTTTTGTTCTGGAGGCGATTGTCCTGTAGCGCCCCCCAGAGGGCAGTAACTGGAAGGCGTAGTGTGCAGGGTGGGAGATATCAGAAATGATCTTGTGGGCTCTGTTTAGTGTCCGTTTGTGGTAAAGTGATTCAAGGGATGGTAGGGGTGAAGCAATGACTTTAGATGCTCTGTTGATGATGCGCTGTAATTCTTCCGGGAAAGTGAGTCAAGACTGCCAAACCAGATTGTGATGGATGTGGTGAGGATGCTTTCAACGATGGCCATGTAGAAGCGGAGCAGAAGATGAGACCTTACTCTGAGCTTCTTGAGCTGTCGGAGATAAAAAAAGTCTTTGCAGGGCTTTTTTGTAGATATGATCTGTGTTGATTTTCCATTTAAGGTTGTTGCGGATGTGTGTCCCAAGGAGTTTGAATGTATCAGTGATGGAGATCGGTTCACCTTCAAGGAGCACAGAAGTTTTGGGGGATGGCTGACGTCTCAGGTCGACGATGAGTTCTTTTGTTTTTGATGTGTTGAGTAGAAGATCATGGTCTGTACACCAGGTCACTGCTTGGTTGATCTGTGCACGGTATGCGGTTTCTTGGTTATTGGTGATGAGTCCTATAATGGTTGTATCGTCTGCATATTTGTATAGGCTGACAGAACTGTGGTGTGATTTGTGTAGAGAGAGAATAGCCAGGGTGAGAGAACACAGCCTTTGCTGGGGAACAGAGGGGAGGATGTGTTATTATTAATCTTTACCTTCTGTTGCCTGTTCCAGAGAAAACTGTGAATCCAGTGACAGATGCATGGATCGATTTTCATGTCCAGTAATATATTGAACAGTTGGACCGGGTTTATTGTATTGAATGCAGAACTGAAATCCATGAACAGGATGCGGGCATATGTGTTTGCGGACTCAAGGTGGTTCAGTATGTGATGAATTGCTAAGGTGACGGTGTCCTCAACTGACCTGTTGGCCCTGTATGCAAATTGGAGAGGGTCCATGAGGGGGGTGGTGACGGTTTTTAGGTGATTGAGTAAGATGTGCTCAAATGATTTCATGACTGCTGATGTAATCATTGAGGCAGGAGATGGTCTTGGGAACCGGGATGATAATGGATTATTTGAAGCACTTGGGTACTGAGTTTTGACAGAGGGAGGTATTGAAAATGTCGGCGAAGACCCCAGCCAGTTCTGCAGCGCAGTGGTGGAGAACGGTGGGGCTGATGTTGTCTGGGCCGGGGCCTTTATTCCTCTTAAGTCCCCTGAAGATGCTCCTCACCTCCTCCTCGTATATGGTAAAAGGGGGGAGATGGTGGTGTAGCCGGTGCCTGCTCAAACCTCCCATTCAAGAAGTTGAGTCGTTGTTAAACCATGGTTTGTTGTTATTATAGTGTTTGATTTTTTTTGAGTGGTATGCACAGGTCCACGCAGTAATTGACGTATGACTTTATTGCGTCGGTGACACGTCGGTGTCAAAAGCAATTTTTTTTATTGTTTGTAATGGCTTTTATTGGATGGGGTAAATTTATTTCTGGCTCTGGTCACAGTCTCAGCTGCTTTATAATCTGAACATTGATAATTTGTACTGAGATGAACTGCTGCATCCTAAAAAAAAGTGGTTATGTGCTTGCTGTGTTTTCAGATATGACCGTGTTATTCATGCCTGCTGTCTGAAACCTGATCTGGAAATACTTCCATATGGAGACCAGACAGAGGTATGTTTCCACATTTTCACCAACACACTGATTAGACACTAATATTTGTTTGTTTTAATTTAACCATTAAATGTTTATAATACTAAGGAGTACAGTTGAAAGGAATGCATATAACGTATGGGGATAATAATATTGTGTGTGTGTGTGTGTGTCAAGATTGGAGAGCGAGGTATTAATCTTTCAGGTGGTCAGAAACAGAGAGTCAGTTTAGCCAGGGCAGTGTATTCTAACAGAGACATTTTCCTTTTGGATGATCCTCTGTCTGCTGTCGATGCACACGTTGGGAAGCACATTTTTGAGGAATGCATCAAGAAAGAGCTGAAGGGCAAATCAATCATTCTGGTCACGCATCAGCTGCAGGTAATTTACTCTAACAGCATAATCCATAATGTCAAGTATGTTCATTTGCTTTGCAGGCTTCTTTTCTGTTTGACTTAGTGGAATAAATATTTGCTCATACCAGATAACATCTATAGATATGCGTTTCCCAGTAGCTTCTGAAAAACTAAAAATATCAGGTCATTTTAAACAATGTTAATGACAAAGTTCGGAAGGAGCACATTCAGATAATCTATACCTAATCAGCGAGAGGAGGCCGATATAAAAATAGCCAACTCACCTCAGTCCCATGACAGTGTTCCAGCACCCCAACTCCTCAGTCGTATCTGTTTCTCTCCCAGCCAGCGATACAGGGGGTTTACTCTGGGTTCGGTCCACATTCAGAGCTGGGAACCCTCCCCCCGCCAAATACGCCAAATACGCCGAATACGCCAAATACGCATACTCTTTACTCTATTTGATTTTATGGTGAAATGTTTTTAACAAGTCATGGACATCGATAAAAAAGTCATGCAAAAGTCAGGCCAGTTTCTATAATGATATAATTATTCTAGTTCTGATTTAAATTTAAAATGTTTAAAAAATATATATAAATATATATAAGATATTGCTCTCGTGAAAGCTGCTCGAAAAATTACTTAAAGGAGTAGTTGGTAACACTTTACTTGAAGGGGTGTGCATAAGACTAACATGACACCTTCATAATCATGACATGACACATGTTATGAATATGAAGGAGGTTTCATGCATGTTTTTGACAACTGTCATTAAGTGTCATTCGCTCAATTATGACATTTTTAATGCAAATATGACATGTTTGAGATGTCTTTGTTATGACACCTTGACATAAACCAATACATCATAACCTGTCAGTGTCATGACAACTTAACATTACTAAGACAACACAACCTGTCATAAACATGACATAGCAGATTAATTATCAAACTTAAGAAACCACTTAGCTTTATTGGTTAACATTACATTAAACTGTCAGGTGGTTGGTTTTGACATTGGCTGTCATGAAGCCATTATAACTGTTTAACCTCTTAACCTCCATTTGCCATTGCATGTTTAAAACAATAATATCTTAGTAAAAACTTAAAGTAATATTGCCAAACTATATATCATTTGAAAGCTTAAAATCTCTAGTTTTCATATTTGGTGGCTGTTATCTAAAATATATTACAGAGGAGCAGAAATTTATCAATTTGCAACAAGAATATTTCATATTCATTAGGAGTATTTAGGCCTTTATTTTGAAATAACAATAAACATGAAAAATCATGAAAGATTGGTAGAAACCTCAGTTTGTTTTCATGCCATGAGTTCAAAAGATAACACCAATTCCATTTTATGAGAAAAAAAGGTCTGAAAATGTTTTAAATATAAAGAAAAATGTATGGATTCTCGATTTGTAATTCGGCTGCGAGCTATAACGCTATAACGTAGTCTTTATGCATTTATTAGAGGTTTTCAAATCAAATACTGCCAAACCACCCATACTACTTCTGAATAGGATGTCTACTTCATAAATTGTATGAAAATTATGGAAATACATGGTTCAGATCACTCAAAACATATGAAAATGGAGGCGCCCTTATATGGGCAGTAATGGAGTCTGGTGTTCACCTAGTGAAAAAGTTGGGTACTGCGCCCGAATAAAATCTTACTGAAAGCTCATTTTTTGAGATATCAACCTAAAATTTGGAATACAACTTGTTCAGATATTTGACTTTAATTTTCTTGCAGTTTTAGAGTAAAATATATTTTGTAATATATATATATATTTTATATAAAATATTAATCATTATATTTTTACATTACACAATTTCATAAACTCAAACTTATATAACTTTTTTTCTGTTTCATTTTTTACAATTTCTAGACTTCTACAATAATCTGGAAAATGTCTTCTTTAAAACAAGACCAGCCATAGGTCTAAATTCCAAAGCATTCCTGAATTACAACCATTTAAGTTTGGATAGTGATTTTTATGTCTATGCAAAAAAAAAGGGGGGGTGCCAGTTAACAGGTTAATGTCAAATTCAATTTGTACCACTGTAGTTGAGGTCAAGAAAAATATTCATGACACAGTTATAATGGCCTTATGACAGCCAATGTCAAAACCAACCACATGACAGTTTAACTTAATTTAATGTCAATTGTCATGACAAAGACACTGACAGGTTATGATGTTGGTTTATGTCAAGGTGTCATAACAAAGACATTCTAAACAATGTCATATTTGCATTCAAAATGTCATTATTGAGCGAAAGACACTTAATGACAGTTGTCATAAACATGCATAAACCCTACTTCATATTCATGACATATGTCATGTCATGGTTATGAAGGTGTCATGTCAGTCTTATGCATACCCCTTCAAGTAAAGTGTTACCGAGTAGTTCCCTTCAAAAGGAAAATTCTGTCATTTACTCCCCCTGAAAAAGTTTCAAACCTCTATAAATGTCTGTCTTCTGCTGAACCCAAAACACTATGGAAGTCAATGGGGTACATCAACTTTTTTGTTACCGACATTCAAATATCATCTTTTGTGTTCAGTGAAAGAAACAACTTCTGGTCCGCTCTGTTGTGTTTGCAGTATTTGGAGTTTTGTGATGAGGAGGTGTTGTTGGATAATGGGGAGATAAAGGAGGCAGGAACTCACAGAGATTTGATGAAAGCTAAAGGCCGCTACGCTCATCTTATTAACAGCGTCCAGATGGAACAGAGCAACGTAACCCCTCTCAATTACCTTACACATGAGCCATTGAAATACTACAACTTATTTACTCTGTTGACATGTATTGGCTTCCAGTACTAAACAAACATTTCCTCTTAATTGTCACCTTTAGGTCATATATAAAAAGGTAGAAGCGGATTCCAAAACACATACTGAACACAATGACTCTGAACAGAGCAATGCAGACGAGCCCAAAGTCAGCGGCGTAGACAACACAGGTTAGTGGATGAATAGGTGATCTCTAGTCTCTACAATCATACTTTTCTTTCATTTTGGATCTCCTTAGGAGACTCGTTTTGTAATAAATGAAAAACGTAAATTCTTCGCTATGCAAATATGTCATTTATACACACTTAATATCACAATTATTTAATATAATTAAAGAATAGCTGAACATAATTAATAATTGAATTATAAAAGAAAGGTTTATCAAAGCAAAGCATGATGGCTCCCATAGAAGTTCTATAATCGCCTTTACGTTTAGCATGAACATTTTAAGTACATTAAGGATTTTTGTGTTACAGATGTGAGCCAAATTTGTTTTCACTGAACTTGATAGCCTTTGGAGGAATTACAGTTTAAATATGCAATCCCTACATCTTCTAAATATTAGTAAATGCAATGATCATGCATTCATAAGCAATTCATCCTCTTAATAGTGCACTTTTGGAGAGACAAACATCTGCTAACAGACATCTATCTCTCATTTATCTTTCTAGCTTTTGAAATGTCTGATGAGCAACATGTTACAAATAAATTACCCAAAGACTCTGCAGAAACAAAAGGTAGATGTAGAAACATCTTCAATGATTATTATGAATACGTCCATTATGTTCACACAGTTTAATCTGATTATAGAATGGTGTGTGTGTGTGTGTGATTCAGGGGAAAAGGATCAGTTGGTAACACAGGAATTGTCCTGTGAAGGTTCAGTTTCGTGGAGGAATTACCACCAATACTGCCAAGCTGCGGGAGGTGTGTTTGATAACGTTCTTTCTTCTCTCTCCATCTCGGCCTCTCTGTCTGTACATTATAAACGCTGTAACACTGTTTCACATTCTGTCTTTCTCTTGAATTATGCCTCTGTAGGGTATATACTGCTGGCAGTTGTTTTACTCATCTTCACTCTTCATGTGGGATCGACTACTTTCAGCAGTTGGTGGCTCACTTACTGGTTAGAACAGGGATCGGGGGTAAACACACACACACACACACATACACACACACACACACACTCACTCATCTGACTCATCAAGACCTCACCATCACTTTTCAAAATGTTTTCTCTCTGTGTGTTCTTGTAGAACATTTCCAGTTCTAATCTAACAGCAAAAAGCGGTAATATCTCTGAGAATCCAGACCTGTCATTCTACCAAATGATTTATGGACTTATTATAGTTGCCCTGTTACTGCTGAGTGTTGCCAAGGCCTACACCTTCACTAAAGTCACTCTGCGTGCCTCCTCCAAACTCCATGACACAATGTTCAAACGGGTAAGATTAGCAGATTTACACTTCCTGAATTTTTGGTTTTAGATCATATTTTTCACAACCTTTTTGACGAAGGCAAAAGGCTCCGGCAAAACTATTTTTATTCAGATATGTACATGGTGTATTTTTTCATGTTTATTTTATTTGAATATAAAAGTAGAAATACTGGGAAAGTAGAAATTCAGTAGAAATACTGGGAAAAAATACTTTTTTTCCCAGTATTTCTGGTGTAATTATGACAAAGCTGCTTGTTTAACAGAAACTAGGAGTGAGTGTATTATTATTATTAATATTATTATTATTAGTGATATATTAGATTAACCATGATTCATTTTGTGATTCCAGAAGTTTCAAAAACTGAACTGTTCTTTAATAAACAAAATATTTCTTATTATTATTATTATTTTTAGAATTTTAATTCAGATTAGAGATTTTTTTTTACTATATTAATAATAATTTATTAATTTAAATACTTTTTAGTCATCCTGCAGCTGGTTGATCTAAACCCTCCCCATAGCACACAAACTCCTTTTTTTTATATAAGTGATCACTTTTAATAGGACAGAGTTTGTTTAGTAATAGAATGTAAGCATTGTGCTACTATTTGTTCAGTAAAATAAAAACCATTTGAGAAGAATTCTGATACCGTTTGACTATTTTCCATCAGATCCTTGGCAGCCCAATGAGTTTTTTTGACACCTCTCCCACCGGCCGCCTGGTGAACCGCTTCAGTAAAGACCAAGATGAGGTTGATGCAGCTTTGCCGTACAACATGGAGAACTTTTTGCAGTTCTGTCTGATCGTTACTTTCACCATTCTCACCATCTGCGTAGTGTTCCCATTCCTCCTGATCGCCATGCTAGTTCTCGGAGTCATCTTTGCCACAATCCTACAGTGAGACACAAACATTGCATAGAATATAAAGATTACAATCACAGATTCATGTTTAAATGCCATGAAATGTACAAAAATGATGTTTTTTTTGTTGTTTTTGCCCTAGTGTTTTCCAAAGGAGCATTCGTCAGATGAAGAGGATGGAGAATGTGAGTCGCTCTCCCTGGATCTCTCTCACCACCTCTTCAATACAGGGACTCAGCACCATCCATGCCTTTGACAAAAGAAAGCAGTACATTGAACGGTAAGGTATTACTGACAATATAATTTTATATTAGAAAATATTTAAGAAATACATACAGCAGTGCTGTGTTACTAATGAGTGACTCTCATGAATCATAGCCCAGAAATTACACAAGCAAAAGTGTTCATATGTAGACCAACAATACTATTATGAGTGTGATATTGCTTCTATGCAACAGTCTAATAAACAAGAATATTGAATTGCAACACAATAAAACACAATTCTTTGTTTTCTGTTGTTTTGTTCCTGAATGAAACTATTTATGAATGAATCGGTTGAATCACTACTGGTGTAATGTCGTAACCTGCAAAAAGAGTCCCAGTGCTGTTTGACCATATACTAACTGTTGTATCGTTTCAAATTAAATTTAGGCCATTCAAACGGTGGCTTTTATAGAGAACTCGGTACTAAAAGTCAAAAAGAACATTTTTCTCTTCACGTAAAGCCAACACTAATAGTTCAGAGCCAAGTTTGCCCCCACAACTGTAGCAAACATCCAATGAATTCAAAGCCTCATATTGTTTGTGTGTCCAATATCAGGTTTAAGACGCTGAGCGACATCAACTCAAACCACTTCCTGCTGTTTAATTGTGGGACTCGCTGGCTGTCATGTTGGTTAGGCTTCTTGTCTGCTACTGTTACTCTAATGGTGGCACTGTTCGTAGTGCTCAGCCCCAATGAGGCCATAAACCCTTCTCTAAAGGGCCTGGCCTTATCCTACACGATACAGGTAACTCTCACAACTAGACTAGGTTAACAACTGGACGATATCTGAGCACTGTGTGTTTATGCCATTTCAGTTGACTGAAATCCTTCAGTATGTGGTGAAATTGTCCACTGAGGTGGAGGCGAAGTTCACCAGTGTAGAGAGACTGCTGGAGTATATTACGGTAAGAGATAAACATTAGGTTAAGCTTTGGGTTATCATGCATTCATATTCAGTTTAGCCAGTTCAGATAATCATGAATATAGTTTTAATTTTTCACTGCTTCTTTGTGTGCTGGAGAGTTGTGTATCAGAGGGTCCACGAAGTGTCAAGGGTGCTCACGTCCCCGCCGGCTGGCCACAGGAGGGCGCCATCACCTTTCAAAACTACAGTATGAGATACAGGGACAACACGCCCATAGTCCTCAGTAATCTCCACATAAGTATTAATCCAGGGGAAAAACTTGGCATTGTGGGACGTACTGGCTCTGGTGAGAGAGAACATATAATGTTGTATTCAAAGCTTAAAGGAGAACTCCGGTGTAATTTTTTTGTAAATTTCGAGTGCTGTCAGTACAGAGAACAACGACAAAAATCGGTGTTTCCTACACCGTGTTATCGTCTTTTTAAAATGTGCACCCTGTAGACTTAACCCTCTGGGGTATAAGGTGTTTTAGGGTCCTTGAGATGTTTTGACATGCACTGACATTTGTGCTTTTTTCAGTTGCTTATAAACATATTAATGGCACAGGTGAAATTACACTCTATTTAGCACAAACAGGGCTACCATAATATGTGAGCAACATGTATGTACATGTTTGTATTTTTGAGAGAATATTGTTTATGCGTGGTTATTGAAAAAAACTAAAAATTAAAGTTTCTGAAATAAGGCCACAAAACACATACTAAATATGTGTCCACAAGACTTTTGACTAATGGATGTTGTCGCCTAGAGTTTTTGCTTCAAAATGATCTGAAAATCATCCTGCTTAATCATTCACATAACACAATAGATTGTTTTAAATTGTTAACTTTTTTGTTTGTTTGGAAAGGCAATATGCGAATGGCCGTGAACGGCCCAACCCCCTCATGAATAATTAGGTGGTTCTCACCTGAGAAGACAAAGACCCGCATAATAATGAGCCTTTCATTCAGGTGTGTCACACAAGAAAAAATGCAAGGACTATATATAAATATATATATATATATTAGTGCTGTCAAACGATTAAAATATTTAATCGCGATTAATCGCAATTAATCACACATTTTTATCTATTCTAAATGTCTCTTGATTTCTTTTTGTCCCATTATTTTATTCTCATTTTAATGCTCTTATCAACATGGTAAAGTGGATCGGCTTGCTTTGTGCAAATGTTTTTTATTGAAAACAACACTGGCATATACAGTGTTCAATTTCACACTAACATTCTCACTTGGAGCAAATAATCTCTCACACAATGTAACACTGTCCATCAAAAAAAGGTTGAAAGAAATACTGACGAGGTCCTGATATTGACGAGGGGGCGGAGAATTCGCATCAGCTGTGTGTGTGTGTGTGTGTGTGTGTGTGCTGGCCATCATCAAGTGGTATTTCAGTCTGGACGTGCTGCGATGATGATAGCTCAGTTCACAACGACAAAACACACAGATCACTTTGGTCTTGTCAATGGAACCATTTGGCAACTTCTTAAAAGTAAACTTTCCATTCAGAATCTTATTGGCACCATTTCGGCGTCTCGCGCTCGTCATCCACTCAAAACGTAACGTTAACCAACTATTTGGCCGGCTCGCAAGCTCAAACAAGTGTGTGTGGCGTGCCTGTTGTTCTGTTTCCGGTCTAGCTAGATCCGCTTGCGCTTTGGTCGACGAAGCAACAGAACGTCCTCGCGCAGCGCAAGGCATTGAAATGAATGGGTTTCATAGCGCAGCGCCGCGCATGCCGTCCTGTTGCAAAAGCATGTGAAAAAAAACTACAAAGTTTGCTAGGCCAAAAAGACCATTAATCGCACGGTAAAAAAATGTACGCCGTTAAAATGGGTTTGCGTTAACGCCGTTAATAACGCGTTTAACTGACAGGCCTAATATATATACATACACACACACACACACACACACACACACACACATATATATGTATAATCAAAATATAAATGAAAGTCAAAAGCACATTTTTAGTCATACCTGGAAACAAATCCTGTTCAAATAGGTTATATGGGCCATTCTATAGAATTGGTTTAAAGTTAGAGTTGGAAACATCTTGAAAAGAAAATGGTCTTTTTCCATAAATGTCAAAAAATAAAGTATTATTCTTTTTTTAAAGTAGGCCAATACATTTTATCATACATATTTCAAAGTTAAGGATTCATTATTTTGATATAGCTTGCATTGGAACAAACACTATAACAGTTGATTAGTTTATTTTTGATAAAACATACTATATATTTAACATGAGCAGAAACTGTCCAACAAAAGCTTATTTGATGTCTATTTTAGTCCATAATCTATCCAGAACTCGTCAACGACATGTTGGCATTACAGACACTATTCTATATCGTGATTAGAACAAATCTCAGTAGGCTATAGCAATATATTTTGGATGTGTTCATGTTTAAATAACCTTTACTAATGTAGGTTAATGTTTCATCCGTTGTTAACAATGTTTCAATGTTAAAACTGACCGGAGTTCTCCTTTAATTTGATGTTTTTAAATGTTAAGATTGACTGTTATAACTGTTCAGATTGATGGAATCTATGTCAAAGTCGTCATTCTAAAGTATTCTTTAACAAATGTGGCTGCCATCAAAAAAATGCATAAAGTACCGAGTGCATTTCAGTGAAGTCTTGTAATATAAATGAGGATTTTCTGTCTGTGTCTCTTGTGGTTTGGTTCATTGCCGCTCTTTCTGGTTCAGGGAAGTCCTCTCTGGCTGTGGCGTTGTTCCGCTTGGCAGAGCCGACCGAGGGCACTATTTTAATAGATGATGTGGACATCTGCAAGCTGGGGCTGAGAGATCTCCGCAGCCAACTCTCCGTCATCCCACAGGATCCTGTCCTCTTCATCGGCACTGTCAGGTGACCTCTCACCTGCCAACTCTACACTTCTATTCATTACGTCATGATGATTCAATTACTTTACTCCTTTTTTTATTCACAATAAGTACTTATTCTAGCAGTGAATCACCTTGTCTTATTCATTGAATTGTTTTTGTCAGAAAATGAGCTGAACTGAAAAAAGGCAACATTCATTGTGTGATATCGAAAAATAAAATTGCAATTATCCTCGATACGTATACCCTTAATCTGTGGACGTTTGTGTGTATTGTATTCTTGTGCAGATTGAGGAATGGTGACTTTAATGTGTTTGTTTGTGTGATTGCTGTGTGTAGGTATAACCTGGACCCGTTTAACAACTACACAGATGAGGAGCTCTGGCTGGCGTTAGAAAAGGCCTACATGAGGGACACGGTAAAGAGTTACTCTATACAAGGCCTGCAAGCAATACTGGATATAGTTTTGATTACGTATGTTTCAAGTACATACTTTTCTTGATCTTGTGTCCGAGGGGTTCTCCAAATGTGTTCCTTATTTTTCAAATAGTAGAACACAGCCTGAATGCTCAGTTTTCAGCTACTGGTTTCATACTCGATAAACATTACCTGTTTAAGTCTATGTTTGATCAAACTGGCATTGTGCTTATGCACTTCTACTTCTTCCACTGTTTCAGTGGGGTGCCATGATTTCATTATTTCAACAGTCATGCTTTCTACTAGGAGCAGGTCATACATCAAGCTAATCTAGCCTTTTATGTGAGGATATCATTTATTGAGAGAGCCAAAAAATATATATAAGAGTGTGTAGTAAAAGTAATAAAAGTTACTGTGAGCTGCACTACAGTGATGAAACAAAGTAGATCTGCTCAAATTCTTCTCAGTACCTTTCACACTTTGGTCCACAGTAACAAAGAAAGGAGAAACAATAATTGAATATAATCGTCATAGATTATAAAAGAAACACTCAAGCATTCAGGTAAGTCCTCTGCACTTCTCTTTCTCTCTCTTGCAGATTGCTAAGCTGCCTGAGAAGTTACACTCTCCAGTAGTGGAGAACGGAGAGAATTTCTCAGTTGGAGAGCGGCAGCTCATGTGTATGGCCAGAGCACTGCTCCGTAAATCCAAAGTAAGAATACAAAACACACACCAGAATCCCCTCAAAAACTGTCCTTGCTCTTTAAAGGAGAACTCCGGTCCATTTTAACATTGAGCTCATTTTTTTGTACATTTGGAGTGCTGTCAGTACAGAGAACAACGACAAAAATCGGTGTTGCCTGCACCGTGTTATCCTCTTTTTAAGATTCGCACCCTGTAGACTTCAATAGGGCAAGTTCTAAACCTGCTTTTAACATCCTTGATGTGTCATTACAAGTCCACAGCCATGTGAGTGAGTATATTCAGAGTGAACACGGTGAATCTGACTGCAGTAGATCTGAAAGATTTGAATAAAAGTGATGTTTATTCAGCCAGCTCACATACCTGTATTTCCTTCCTGTTTTCGGTCGAAGTCCACAGTAGTCGATTGTCGAGTTCACGCGCGCGAACATTGGTAATTACGGTACTGATCCACTTTTGCGACACGACTGAAGCGTGGTGTCGCACGCCTCTCCACATTTGTAAGTTGATGGGCGTTCCTCAAGTTTACCGCTATGGGCGTGGTTTTGACCCAGCGGCCAGTCTAGAACAAAGGCCCCTCGAGAGACTACTTCTATTGGATAGACGCGTCGCGTTTGACGGATTCATTTGCATAAAGATGGGCATCGGCCAGCTTTTTGACGGCCAGCATTTTTCCAAATGAAGCGCCGCCTTCCCGGGATGCTTTGCGGGCGCGTTAAAGTGGCGTGACGTCACCCATAGGAATAAAGTGTAGTGCGGCGCGACTGAAGTGTCACGCGGACAAGTGGATCAGTACCGTCAAGCCTTGTTTATACTCGACGCGTCCGCACGCGCGCGAGTCTCCGCTGACTGCGCGCGCACCTCTCCAAACGGACGAGGCGTTTATACTTGACGTGCTCACCGTTGTGCTAATCTGTGAAACGACAGGGGGCGACTCGGAGTAATTCTCCTCTAAACCACCAGGAATCAGCAGTGAAGAAGTAGTTTGCGGTTTATTAATAGCTGATTCATATTAAAAGAGTAATAAATGCTGTAGGTTTATTGTACTTTCACTGCATGTAAACTAGTTAAACAACTGAAGCCTTATTGAAGAGTGTTTAAACCTTAATTTCATCAGCAAGGCTTACTTCTGCTAGCCTGGCATGCCAGACCTACATCAAGATGTTAGGTCTGGGAACTCTCCATTGACATGCCTCAATCCGAGGAGCGGGATAAACGGTCACCTTTCAAAATCCCTCTGCTCGCAATAGGATAGCGCTACAACCAACCAGAGCAACGAACGGTTGTGGATGAGTGAGTCCCATGCGTTTTTCCACCAGCGGAGCTAATTGATATATTAAACTTTGCCGTATCAGGTCGGCAAAACTCCGAACACATCTTCCTTTTTTAAGAATGACTTAAGTGACGTTCTCTTAACTCCAAGTCCTCCAGAGTCGCGGCCAAAGCCGATTCGAAAGACCGCGGCATCTTCATTGTTTTCAAGTTGCAGGAAAATCACCAATGGAAATCACGCGGAACGTCATGAACTGTGCCGTCATTGTGTTAAGCCCGACCAGTTTTGGGGTTTTCCAGCTCAAAAGCCTATGGAGAGTTGCTAGACCACACTGGCTGCGAAATAATTTTCGCTGCCGCTAGGGTGCATCTAGATTTCTAGGCTATACTTCTGCTATTGAAGGCTTATTTTGTAAATGTAACCAATTACTTTAGACAAGTGCAAACTAGGTGCTTAATGCAAATGTGTTCCTATTCACAAAATGAGAGGCTTTTATGGTCGCCCATCAATGCGAATGTCTCTGTATATAGAAGGATCATAAACATGCTGGTGCAGACGTACCAGTTCAGCCAGATTCGGCTCGAAGTCGTTCATCTTCGGATGCGGCGCCGCGCGCGATGTTACAAAAAGCGCACCCAACGCGCATGACCACCCACGCCGCAATTACGTGATTTTTGCCGCGCGCACCTTCGCGCTCTTGCGGACGCGTCGAGTATAAACAAGGCTTACCCCTTATTTACACTGCACACGTCTGCGGCGCATTACGGCTCCGACAAGGTTTTATTCCGTCCTCCATGCGGTGCTAACTCACACCAGGAGCATTTCAGAAGCGAAGCGACTGGATGCGCGAGACCACGTGATTTGCCTGTCCGACGTGGTTTTTCTTGATTTTTGGGTTTCTACCCTACAGTCTATGGTTTCTACCAAGGATATTGGTGTAAAATACAATTAGGAGTTTGCACAGGGTGTTAATTTTGAAATTGACAGGATATTATTACTTTTATTTTGTATTTACAGTGCGGCTTGGACGCGCATCCGTCAAAAATAGACTAGGCGCCTATCTTTAGCGAAGCGGCTGATGTAAACACTGTTGTGTCTTTGCACACCAGAAACGTTTCTGACGCATCGCTGACACGGATCACCCTTGTTCGACATATGGGAGAGAGTTGTGGAAGCCCTATACTTCGTGTTAAGCATACATATGTAACCCCTCCACCCGGGTCCTTCTCACCCCGCTCTGAGCGGGTCTCAAACCCGGGTCTCCGGCGTGAGAGTCAGGCGCTCTAACAAGGAGGCTAAAGAATGCAGCCTCTAGCATCTGTCGCTAGAGCGCCTTTTGAGATCAGAGGAGTGAGGTTTACTCGCACAGCAACTACTAGCTGGCCTCCGTTACACATATAAAGCCTACTGATAAAGACACTGTCAGCAGTATTGACAGCAAAATAGACTACAGAATATTTCGTTCTGTATTGACAGGTGCAATATATGAAAATTGATAATTAGGCCTATTTATTTATTTATCTTTAAATTAGGCCTATATTTATATCTGAATTTGTCAAAATCTAGACTTTCAACCATCAAAATGTAATTTATTAGTATTCGTGTACAAAATAACATATAAACATCGGAAGCTAGAAACGCTTCCTACACGCTTGCGTGTCGCGTGTAAAATAGGCGTCGGTTCTATTTCTAGCATGCACGCGTTTTCCGCGCGGTTCAAGCCACGCCTGAGACGCGCGTGTCACGCAGGCAGTCTGCAAGCTCTGACCTGTTAACATGGGAGCCGAAATAAAAACGGACACGCCACGCAGCCAATGTGTCATGGGCCTAACCCCTCATTTACCCCTCATTTACACTGCACACGTCTGCGGCTCGTTACGGCCGCGACACGGCTACCAAAGTTGATCGCGGCCACTCTAGTCAATGCTAGTGTTTACACCAGCCGCGACGCGGCGCGTTTCAGAAGCGTCCCAGATGCGGCTCTCCGCGCCGCTTCGCTAAAGATAGGCGCCTAGTCTATTTTTGACGGATGCGCGTCCAAGCCGCACCGTAAATACAAAATAAAAATAATAATATCCTGTCAATTTTAAAAATTAACACCCTGTGCAAACTCCTAATTGTATTTTACACCAATATCCTTGGTAGAAACCATAGACTGTAGGGTAGAAACCCAAAAATCAAGAAAAACCACGTCGGACAGGCAAATCACGTGGTCTCGCGCATCCAGTCGCTTCGCTTCTGAAATGCTCCTGGTGTGAGTTGGCACCGCGTGGAGGACGGAATAAAACCTTGTCGGAGCCGTAATGCGCCGCAGACGTGTGCAGTGTAAATAAGTGGTTATGGTGTGTTCACACCGAACGTGAATTTAATTATTTGGGCGAGTAGATTACATACAAAGTCAATGCAAAGACGCGAATAGACACATCATTCGTGCCGGGCGTTGCGAATGACGCGAATTGGGCGACGCGTTTGCCGCGAATGTCTTCCGCGCAAGTTGAAAAATTTGAACTCGAGCGAATGTTGAAGTGTCTAACTAGACGCGATAGACGTGTATTTGACGCTCTATTCGCGTTTGGTGTGAACACACCATTAAGGTAATGATCGCGCATGTGAACTCGACGACCGTGTTCACTGAATATACTCACTCACATGGCTGTGCACTTGTAATGACACATCAAGGATGTTAAAAGCAGGTTTAGAACCCCATTGAAGTCTACAGGGTGCACATTTTAAAAAGAGGATAACACGGTGCAGGCAACACCGATTTTTGTCGTTGTTCTCTGTACTGACAGCACTCCAAATTTACCAAAAAATGAGCTCAATGTTAAAAATGACCGGAGTTCTCCTTTAACAGGGTCTGATAAAGTTGTGTTCACAGATCATTCTATTGGATGAGGCGACGGCGTCTATAGACTCCGAGACTGACAGCATGATCCAGCGCACCATCAGAGAGGGTTTCCAGCACTGCACAATGCTCACAATCGCCCACAGGATCAACACGGTGTTGGAGAGTGACCGCATACTCGTCATGGAGCAGGGCAAGGTAATCCACTACACTTTAATATCCATTCAACTAAATGCTAGTGGTGGGCAGATCGAGGCTTCGTGAAACACTGAAACAGTTAAAGCAAATGTGCCGTATTGTGTCGAGGCTTTGTGTCATGGGGACCCCTAGTGGTCAGAACAGTGTAAATGCAACAAAAACATGCATAGAAACCACTTTTACAAATCTAATGCAAATGTTTTATTGAAAGTAAAATCTATCAAATGCAATTATCTAATCATCTAATAAGATTATCAAGTGTATATATGTTCTTTTATCAATTGTCGGTTTTTTTGTTTTGTTTGTTAGTTCTATGAATGGCTCAGCTAAATAAGGAACTACCATTATTCATTTTAATTATACTAATGTCTAATTAAATAGTCTACAAATGTATAAAACTGATCAGAGATCAGGTAAACCCACAGACACTTGTCCAGTGGTTCTCAGTGAATCCTCATGATTCATGGGTTGACAGAGATCATCAGCGATGAACAAATGATGATGTGTTTCGAAGTGTTTTGAAACAGTTATGACGTAATGAAGCCTTGTTTACTGAAATCACGTGACTCTGGCAGTTTGATACACGCTCCGAAACATTGATTTGTAAAGGCTTCGAAGCTTCATGAAGCAGTGTTTTGAAATTGCCATCACTACTAAATGCATTACTGCATTATTGAAGTACTCTATTCCTCTTATGTAGCAACACATAAGCTATTTTCTGGGATTTTGGGGGCACTTCCGATTAATTTGCCGCTATGACTGGAAGAATAACAGAATGCTGTGAATGGTAAAATGATTATAAATTCAAAACAAATCTCAGTTTGCAATATCAAGCAGCATAACAGGCAGTTTTTGTACAGCAACTAAAATAATTGGAAGTGGATTAGAACAGAAGCCATGTTACAATCGCTCTACATTAAGAGTGAGCTTGTGTGTTTTCTCCCAGGTGGTCGAGTTTGAGCCGCCGCAGGACCTGATCCAGAGGCCGAACTCTCTGTTCGCCTCTCTTCTAGCAGCAGCGAATCAAGTGAACTCGTGAAGCTCTCTGAAACATCCTCGCACTGCATGCTCTTGCATTGTCCCCACCTACTATATATGTAGGTAATATCTGTTTTTCCCTTAACGCAAAGAACAGATCTATTAGAGAGTTATTTCAAAGAAATGCCTTATATTTACTGGTGGTGTGGCGCAGTGGATAAGACACATGCCTTTGGTGTGAGAGACCCGGGTTCGAATCCACTGTGAGACACCAATGTGTCCCTGAGCAAGACACTTAACCCCTAGTTGCTCCAGAGGCGTGCGACCTCTGACATATATAGCAATTGTAAGTCGCTTTGGATAAAAGCGTCAGCTAAATGTTTTACAGAAGATATTGTGTGGAAAAAGGTTTGGCTTATACCTAATCAATATTTAATTACAAACAAAGTTAAGGAGGTATCATTCAAATTGATACATGGAATATACATTACTTTATCAAATTTAAAAGTGATATTGATGTTAATTGCACCTTTTGTGACAGTTGCCCTGAAACTGTGGTTCATTTGTTTTGGCATTGCCCATTTGTAAGACCATTTTGGCAAAATGTGTGTGATTTTATCACAAGAAACATTGATGACCAATTTATGTTGTTTTGGAAACATATTTTATTTGGTATCTGGGAGAACAGTAGAATCAAGCATAGTCAGATTTATATCATTCATTTTATTCTTTTAATGGCAAAATTGTATGTTTCATAAATATAAATTCTCCTGTAAAAAAACTTATTTTACTTCATTAAGGGAAGAAATAGAGCTTTATATTGATTCACTCCGATTAATTTTGTCAAATGGTTTGTCAATGGTTATTGAACAGAAAACTCATTGCTGATACTAATATTACTCATTTAGCTATGAAATGCTGATTACAGTTGCATAAGTTGCCTATTAGTATTAAAAAAACGAACATGGGTCACATGTGCAACTGTAGTTAACATTTCACAGCTAAATTAATGATTTTAGTATTAGCAATGAGTTTTCTGTTCATTACACATTGACAATAGGGGTCAACATTACCATATTGGTCCTAATATAACATATATTATCCTTGTATTCAGACCAATACAGTAATAGATGAAAACAAATGTATGCTGTACATTTCATTTTTTTGGAGTAGGGCTGTCACTTTTGTGAAAAAATCCTGATCGATTTTTGAGACATAAATGTTCATTGAATAGATTGTAAAATCGATTTTCCATGTCTAAAGACGTTTCCATTTTCAACGCCAAATTTAGGCAAATCCACGGACACCTAAAAGGCGTTAGGACGAGCGTAAAGAGGGCGCTTGAGACAGCAATATTTCTGATGATTTATTGGCATGAAGTTTCGTGCACAATGACAAACAGGAGTATAAGATTCTCGAAAAACAATAAGTAGAGTGGACTGCCATAACATCAATGAAAAACATCACTGCAAGCTTCAACGTGGCTGTTTACGATTAGAAATGTCAAACAAATTTCGCCTACGTAGGCGATTGTAGGCCAGATCTGTATCTCATCTGTATGCATGAGACTGTCTGAATACCGGCAGAATTCACATTTTTGTTGTAAAAAGAGACACATTATCCAGAAGTATAGTATAGTTTGTATGTGTGTTTGCCAATCGATTGTGCAATCGATTTCCGAACGTAAAGTGACAGCCCTATTTTGGAGTCTAGGGCTGTGTGTTTGTTTGTGTGTGTGTGTGTGTGTGTGTGTGTGTGTGTGTGTGTGTGTGTGTGTGTGTGTGTGTGTGTGTGTGTGTGTGTGTGTGTGTGTGTGTGTGTGTGTGTGTGTGTGTTGGATCAGGGTGGGAACTAAACTAAACTTTTTTTAACAATTTTTCCTTTAAGAAATTAAAGGTTGTAAATATCTAATTTTTGCTCAATTGTGTTTCCATAATCGCATACTTCCCTACTATATAGCATAGGCGAAAAACTACTACTTCTGCTGATATAGCGCTTGCAATTTAAATAAGTACCTACTCATGACAGTGTGCGATTTCGGACGCAGCCTGCGTCTTTACACTTGCGTCACTGAATCATTCATTTAAACCAATTTTAAAAAATGTTTAAATAAAACCAATTTTATTTTTTATTAAACAGACTAGCAATTAACATTATGTCAGAACCTCAAGTAAATTACATGTTTAGTGTAATTATTACTCCTGTGCAATGTTTCTCTCATGGCAATTTGAATTCATTCATGCATTTGTGATTTAACTATGGTACCACTTTATATCTCTAATCCACTTTAAATATTCTACTGACTTCGCAAGTACATCATCTTTTTTACTAGTCATAACCCTAACCTTATAGTCTACTAATACTCTAATGAGAGTTAGTTGACATTGTAAAGTTGTAAAGTTACTCATATACAGGTGGAGCTAGGGAAGGGTTTCTGAAAGCACACTGATGCAACCAATCAGCTGTGCTGTGTAGATGATGATGCGATCGCTACCATGAGTTAAGGACCTATCAGACAGCACCATCTAGAGTTTCATGCCATAACTTGGTATTTAGTAGAATGTCTAAAGTGGACCATCGAAATAAAGTGTAACATCTGAAGCGCCTCACCTGGGAATCTGGGATATCCATAGATCTGCAGAGAGTTCCCAAAAAAAACCTGGATTGGTCTCATTGTTCCTGGAAAGCTGTCATCTCTGTAAGTGACAACCACGATGCTTGGTAGATGCGCTGACTGGAGATCCAGCCTCCACCACGGGTTTTGCTCCCAACTGGTTGTGGCACAAGTGCTAGAAGATGTAGAGAAGTCCTTGCCGCCATCGATGGCGAGGTCCGCGGACTTAGCACCGCTTGACGTCGACTGTGTGGCGGCTCCTCTTCGTGCAAGATTCTCTGAAAAAGGCAAATTAATATGATGTGGAGACAGTCAGGGAACTTTAAATAAAATAGCTTTAAAGTCCAGTGGATCTTAAGGTGAATTTTTTTTTTTTTTTTTCAGAAGGCTATTTAGATGCTGTTAAATTTGTGAAAAGTTGCTCTACCTTTAGCACAATCTGCCTGTTCCTGACCAGAAAACAGCCCTGCATGTGCAAAAGATAGGCTATTATATAACAGAGCATTAATATAACACACAATCAGATGTAAAGAGGCAAATGAGCACCCAGATGACATTAGATTTGTTTTGTAAAGCAGTGAATGAGCAATGAATCATGGTCTGATGCACAAAAGTCAAAGTACAATATGCAAAGTAGACCTACAACAAACTGAAATACTTGATGGGTGTAAATAGTGTTTATATATATATATATATATATATATATATATATATATATATATATAAAATGTATACGCACAGATAAATATATTTATAAAAATTATTGAATGAGTCAATTTAAATTAGCTTATAGTTTATAAAACTTTCATATCTTCAGGAACACCATACAAATCTGATGTTTTTAGTATAGAATAAAATCCTATGGAAGTCAAAGGGGCCCATCAAATGTTTGGTTACATTCTTCAAAATATCTTCTTTTGTTTTCAACATAATACAATTTTTTGGGTGAACTATCCCTTTAAGACCGGTTCACCCCAAGAACGATAACTATACATATAACAATATTGTACTGTTTATTCTAAGCAGGCTGCGGTTTTTCCCATCTGTCACTTTAAATGCTCAAGCTCGTTACAGCATGATGGATTCTGATTGGCTGTCAATGTTTTTATTGTTCATCAGTTAGAAAAAATCGTTCTGAAAGTGAGTCCAAAGATATGGTTTCTATGTGCCGTTATACTTGTGGTGCGGACTCTGCTATTATTTTATATATTCAAACGATTTTTTTTTTTTTAACTATCGTCGTTGTCGTTATAATTATCGTCCTTGGTGTGAACAGGTCTTCTTTTACTGTTATTAATGAAAGTCTTACCCAATAATAACAGCCAGCACACAATGATCTCCATCATCTCACAGATAAGTCCTTATAAATATGTACTATATTGCTCTGTAATGTTGGGACAAAAGACAAAAATGTGAAATATGACAAAGATTAATGTCATGGAGCCTAGAGGAACATTGCTGTAAAATCTCAGTCTGCAGTTTCCTGACAGACAGTAATGGCCGAGGGCCATCTGGAAGTGTATTACATGTCAGTTAAGTCAACTATTTCATTGATTTTCATTTTGAACACATTAAAAATATGTTAAACTCTCTGCAATTCAAGACATGGAACAACAACAAGTATGAGAAAACAATCAGAGGACGAAGTTTCTTTATTGTATATTTACGGCAATTTATTGTAATTTAATTATTAAAACTGGCTTAACAGTTATTAATTATTATTAATAAAGGCATGTTAATTTTATGGTTTTGTTTTTATTGCAGTTTTTTAATCAGTAACTGTTGTCACTAATATCTGCAGTCATATTTGTTTTTATTAAAAATGAAGCGAACTGTCCTGTCCTGTGAAAGCCGTACGCTGATGATGGAGTGGTTTTACAGTCAGTTTGACATCTGACGATGATTCCCGAAGGAGACTGATGTACTTTCTCTCCGTGTGACGTCACAAGGCAGGGAAATTTGGGCTGGGAGTCGGATTGAGAGTTTCTGTTCTGAGAGATTCCCAAATCCACAATGATTCCAGATCCTAAATAAAATATAACACAGGAATATTGTAAATACATATTCTTCTTCATAGTTATGATTTAAAAATAGGTCTATATATTGGAATAAAACTAAATGTTACAAATATTTAAATGAATTTGTGAGTTTTGCATGTGAAATCATTTAGGAAACTTTGCAACGCTTTAACATATTTGTTCTATTTGCATGTGCATAAATGAGTCATGGGACTTGTTTATACTTTAATGCGAGACAAAGTGTTGAGACGCTGTGAAGTGAGCATAGTTAGTTACATTAGTACATTACATTAGTCAGAACAGAAGCAGAATTAAAACACTGTAAAATCTAATTTGTTAGACTTACTTAAAAAAGCATGCAAACCGATTGCCTTAAAAACCAAGTAAAGTGAAATAGGAATAGTATGTTGTGCTGACAAATGCTTAGTTGGGCT